AATCTTAAGAGTCATATTGGAATGAATATCAACAATGTGTTCTTTTAAATCTTATTGGGCTAGATTTTTAAAATGAGAATATTACATTTAAGAGAAAACACGAAAAATACCTCAAGCAAGATGACAGTGACCTGAAAACTTGTCAGTATTTATGAGGTCAAATATTTCTTCTAGTAGTTATACAAATTATTTCTTTTAATACTGATCAACTTTTTTTGTTGTAGTTGCTTTATTTCTGTTGAATTATTCCAATCTTTTCAGGTAATTTCTCAATAATTTTTGACTTGGTGTGTTTGTACATTTTAAAGAAAACACAAATTAAAAGGCAAATGTGATATATATTTTTAATATAATAGTCAATGGAATAAAATTACAACCAATTTTATATGGTATCTTATACATTAACATTGACTTTTAAACTGTGCTAAAATTAATGGCAGTATTATCTTAAATAGGGCAACAAGAGCGAAACTCCGTCTCAAAAAAAAAAAAAAAAAGTAACATTTAATGTAGTATATTGTGTTGTTTTTGAAATGTACATTTCATTACCAAGCCATCTTCTATATTAAAGTATTTTTTTATGCATTAAGCACTAAAACTTTTTATGTTCTCCTTTTTATTGTCTTTGTTTTGAAAAAGGAACATTAAACAAAAAGTAAGAAACTTTATTTTAGTAAAGTATAATTTGATAGAATTTTTGTGTTAGCTGAGTTTTTTTTATATTGCCTGTTTTTATCTCACATCTTATTTCAAAAAGAATGTGAAGCTTAAATATACCAAGGAAAAGGAAAACGTGAAGTAGGGCTCATGCCTGTAATCCCAGCACTTTGGGAGGTGGAGGCATGTGGATCACCTGAGGTCAGGAGTTTAAGACCAGCCTGGCCAATATGGTGAAACCCTGTCTCTACTAAAAATACAAAAAATTAGCTGAGCATGGTGGTGGACACCTGTGATCCCAGCTACTCGGGAGACTGAGGCAGGAGAATCACTTGAACCTGGGAGGCGGAGGTAGCAGTGAGCCTAGATCATGCCATTGCACTACAGCCAGAGCAACAAGAGTGAAACTCCATCTCAAAAAAAGAAAAAATAAAAAAGATTTGATAGAAACAGCAGAGGAACTTTAGACATAGATAATTATTATCCCTTGTATCATCTTATGAAGAAATATTTGTGGGGTCAATATTAGATTCCTTGACACCTTTTTTCTCCTCAGCCTTAAGCTCTCTGAAAAATAATTGGTTACGAGCTAAGCCAAATGAGGACAGCATAAACCCAAAGCTGTGAAACTGATTAAGTCTTCACCATGGTACCACTACAAGAATTGGTCGTTTGTTTTGTAAAATGATCTCTTGACTGATCTAGTCAAAGACAAAAGAGAAATACATATTGTCCCCATTCAGCTTCATTTTGACCACTCTCTTTATCTTCTATTTTAATATGATAAAATTGCTTTTGAATTAGATATTTCAGTCTATCCCCCGCATTGTCCCACTGCAGTGTCAACTCTGTGAGTCAAGGATTACATCTGGATTGCTCACTAATATACCCTTAAGCTTAATGAATATTTGTTGAATGAATCAATAATGAACAGAAAGAATAAGTTTTTTTTATACTTAGATGACACTATTTGTGCCAAAAATGGGGAGGAATTTTAACATAAATAGGTATGTAATCACCATCAAAAGCTTAAGATGAACTGTTCTAAAACCAGATTGTCCAGTTTAGCAAATGGTCTTATTTTTAATCCAACGTAGTATGTAAATTCAATTAAAAGAACTAGAAACCACTTTGACATTAACAGGAAGACTAATTTTATTGGTTTAATCTAAAATGTTTATCATTGCTGCAATAAAATTGTCATGACAACTATGAGTAATTGAGGACAACTGGTTGAGCAATTTTTTAGACTAAAATTATGTGGTCTTGCTTTACAGCATTGAACTTTTGAGCTTCAAGCATTTGCCCACAGATTGTAAAAGAGAACTGTTTTCTAAAGAAAACCTAACACTGCCTCTAGGTACCACTTCAGCTTCTCTGCAGGAAATGAATTATAGGTGGATATCTGGTCATTTTTATGAGAACATTAGCCCTACCCTCCAACCAGTTGATTTTCTGAGCTTAGGGATCCATCCTTAATTGGTAAGATATTTTCAATCTAGGAATTTATTAGCCCTACAATCTCATATTATCTGCTACTCACTTATGCAAAATTGGCTATATGAAACAATATTACTGAACGCTATGAGGTCCTTCTTAAATATTGAAGATTCTTTACCTGGAGTTTCTGCAACTCCCTGAAATTACATGTAAAATGTAATCTTACGAGTGTTTGCATACAAAACTCCTAATAAATGGTCTGTATTTCATCAGAATTTGAAAGCACTTTATAATGCAAAGTATGCCCTTCCTTTAATTCAAAGTTTATTCTTGGATCAAGTCAGACCATAGAGAGTTAGTTACTTGTTCAGTATTATTTTAGCTGATTTTAAAGCTTTTTATATTTGAGTTTGAGTGTACTTGAATCAGATTGTACAGGAGAGAACCTGTCATTGTAAGGATACTTGAAACCGGTTCTGCAAACCATGGTAGCCACTGTGAAAACCTATGGGTTAGATTTTTATTGATTCTTTGTTCTGGAAAAGGCTGGACCTCTATTGAACATGTGGTTTGGATTTTCTTATAAGCATGTGAATCTTGAACCTGTTCATGTGTCCCTCTTCACTATGAGAAGTGGGAGACAGACCAAATTTATAGGTACCCTTCATCAAAGGTATAGGCTTTTATGACATGCATTCAAAAAGTATTCCTCTAAACCATAACGCCATTGTATTACTTTCCTGTCTTCATGTCCCATTGTTCCAATTTCCTCCCCTACTTCACATTGTTTCTCCTCACCGGAAAAATCTTTGTTCTGTTTGGTCACAGTTTAGAGGAATATTAATGAATTGTAGCACATCAGATGGAGCTGACCAGATTCATAAATTCTAGAAACTATATTACCAGAAGAATGATGAAGAAACTGGATGTTTGACCTGAAAAAACTTAAGGTGGATAACATAGTTGTGTGTAAAATATACTTTATGTTCCCTAAGGTGAACTAAGGATGCCAGATGGATGAACATTATTCACTTAATTATTCACTGATTTTTTTTCACCCAATGTAAGTAAGCCCCGTCTGACAATTCGTTTAACCATGCTGGAATGAGCTCCCCCATGTGGTAAAAATCTCATTACTGAGATTGTTGAAGTGACTTTTATCTGTGCTCACTGAATTTCATCACTTTTATTCTTTTGACTTTCTTTTCATTCAGTTGAATAGTAAGTTTCAGTTTGAAAGCTTGAAATTTTGTCTCACCTGACTAATGTAAGAAAATATACCATCCTCCTCTCAGCGAGGCAGGATAGGATAGACATCACATCCCCTAGGGCTCAGGTGTGGTGTGAGAGTACAGGATGTGATGAGAGACAGAGACTTAGTGACATTGTGAGAAAGATTCACTCACTCACTCACTGTGTGGTGGCTGGAGTTATAATATGCAAACTTGGGTGAATCTGTCTACCAAGTGCAAGTGTCTGTATTAAGCAACATTACTGCTCTCCATCAACTTACATTTACTTGTCTATTAAATCGCTGATAGATAATAATCTGCCCTGTTTTACCTTTCTTCTTCCTGAAGAAAAGTAAAATCTACATGGAAGGGGAAAGGTCCACAGGCATCACAAATTATCTAGATTAGAGTCAATCCTAATCAATCTGAGATATTTAGCTGTACTACATAGAAAAATGATACTCAGGCAGGTAATACTATTTCCACACCTTGGTTATATTCATGTAGTAGTATTTATACCTCACCATTTTGGAGAAAATCTATCATGTTATGAAGTAAATACATTTAAACTAACATGTTTTCTATGTTGAACATTACTTGTATAGTATTTTGCTGGCTGAATCTTCCCTTTGAACTCAGTACATTGAGGTGCATTTGGAGAGCTGAAGGGAAAGGCTGCCAGGAGCTGAGGCCACAATCACATTATCTAATAATTTATTTATTGAGATATTGAGTACAATAATTAATGAGATATGGTCTCTACCTTGTTCTTAGAGAGCTTATAGTCTACAAAATGGAGCAAAGATTCATTGTTGTTAGCCATGGATACTTCACATCAATTCTGGGTATTCTGAAGTGTACCTAAGATGTATCTGGTGCTTTTTGTATGGGCATCTCAATTGTTGTATGCTCCTGCCCATGCTTAGGGTTTCCTGTGAAGGAAAGAAACAAATTATGCCTTCTAATATCTTGTTGAGGGTGGTAGACTAGAGAAAGGCATTCAGGAGAGAACAAAGCTCACTGATAAGCTGATACATGTTATCTACTCCTATGGGGCACAAGGGGATGTGTGTCTGGGCCAGGGTGAGAGGCCACCAATCAAAGGTGGACTGGCAACTCATTCTAATTAGAACAATAACAATAGCTGCAATCTCTACTCTCAATGAAGATGTTACTGTCTTCACAGACAGGATAATGGAAAATCCCTAGAGGAATGTAGGGAGAGAGGAGGAAGGAAGGAGTGGGGGAGGAGGAGGAAGAAGAGGAGGCAGGGGCAGGAGGAGGAGGAGGAAAGAAGAGGGAGGAAAATGTGGGTCCAATGAGGTGATAAGACTGCTCTTATCTAATAATGAAAGTAGAACCTATGTTTGTTTTCCCAAGTCTGTATTCAATGGCATCATGTTGGTAGCTTGAGATTGGTAATAGCGGCAGTATTTATACTGTGTGAACTGGTGAGAATGTGACGTAAATCAGTGCTTTTCCCTCCTGGAGAGGCAGCTGTTACACATTTACCAGTACACTGCTAAGTGTGCCCCATGGGCCCAGAATCCAGACTTAAATTCCAGTTTATTTTCCTGTCTGAGAAACATATCCTTGTCTCTCTGATCCCTGGACACGAACTCAACTTTGTGGCTTCCTGGCTGGAGGAGGGGTATGAAGGGAATGAAGGCAGGAGAGGGAAACTTCATGGCGGCATCCAGGGACACAGATTTCCTATATGTCCAGCACAAAGGCATTTACCTCCTATTCTTTGACAAGATACCTCTACCACCAAACGAGGGAAAACACTTCCCCCATTGCATAATTCTCTTCCCCATTAAAGAAGAGAAGTAGCATTAGAGTTTGCTTTGCATATTTATATATTAAGAGTAAAACAAGCTGTATTTTTCTTTTTATTTTTTACCATTTAGATCATGATAAACATTTGCTTTTATAGCAAAGAAAACATAATTTTATTTTGATCAACATACTTGTTGCAGAGGTATTGTTTTTCTTGCTGCTCTATATTCATATATACTTACTTCTGATAATAGTACCCTGATTCCCCACTCTATCCATATGTTTTGGGTGGGGTTGGCCTGCTTCTGGCTCCAGGAATAGGCAGTACTCAGCCTTGGTCCACGTTATGGTGAATGGCTCAGGAGGAGGCATGTGGTCAATCAGGGGTCCCGAGATCCATAGGCGTTGCAGAAACCACTGATACACAGGCATGAACTTAAGAGAATGTAAGCCAACAGCTGCTAGGGAAGGAAAAGAACCTACTCATATAGTTTTAGCCCCTAGATTTAGCAATGTCTGTAGTCTAAATTACTTCTAGATTTGATAGATACAGAGCCTGTAAGAAATTTTTTTTTCTGGCTTAAACGAGTTAGAATACTTCACATGCAACCAACAGAGTCCTAACTGCTGTACTATGCTTTATAACTTCACTTAATAAAATTGGTAGCCTTTCCAAATAAACTGATGACAACTCTTCTGATATTACATGTTGATGTTTTCCATAAAAATAAGTTAAATGTCCTTTATTTTTTATAGTATTTTACTAAAATAGTTATACTAAAATATTTATTCTAAAACAATTGTTTTATGTATATATAAAGATATCAACTAAAAAAATTATAAGCTGATTTTATTTCAAAAAGTCTGTACAGTATATTATGTAGGAATACTCTTTTTTGGTACATCCTCAATTTTAACTGCTTTCACCTTCTGCAAGGCTCCTCCTCGAATGGGCAGTTTTTTAAGAGCAATATCCGTATCAGCCAGAGGTCCTCCTACTAATCGGGCAGGAGTGCTTTCCAATGTTACTACCCCACCAGAAGGCACCTAAAAAGGCAAAAGGTAAATATCTAAAAGTCCATTTACACAATTTTCAGTAAGAGAAAAACTCATTCATCCTTCAACTTACTTTGGAAAAGGCACAAAATATACATTTGAGTAACTAGGAGACAGTTGTGGTATAATAGATAAGGGCATCAGAGCCAGGAAAAGTGGGTTTGAATTCTACTTCTGTTGCTTATCAGCTTTGTAACTGGGGGCAAATTAAGTCTAGCAGAGGATGCCAGGAACACTTTGAGTCTACTTGCCAGGAAAAGGAAGCATTGTGCCTTTTCTATCAGATATAAGGACAGTTATATGCTGACTAGTGTTTATAACAATTTCTTAGAAATCTTGGAGGGCTGAGCCTACTCTAAACCAGAACTAGGCAAGAGTGGATATACCCTGGAGATAAATATGGCTTAGTGATGTGAAATTTGAACAGCAAAAAAATGATGTGAAATTTGAACAACAAAAGAAAAAATGTGAGATAAATATCCCATAGAAATAATATTTTGAGGGTCTAAGTTTATTTTTTTATTAAATTTTTATCTTCTAATTTTAAATGTTTTCTTTTTTGAACAGTTTTATTGAGATAAAATTAAATACCACATAATCCACTCATTTAAAGTGTAAAATTCAATGGTTTTCAGTATATTTTCACAGTTGTACAAACACCCTAAATTTAATGTCTATTAAGATAATGTTATGGAGAAAAAGACTCTTACCGTTGTGTTAAGGCCTTTAATATCTGTTGGGTGAAATATTGCATTTTGTGGTCGTTCATGGTATCTAGAGGCTTCAATAGCCTTTTCTTGAAACCTTTTTGCTTTCTGAGAATTTTTAAATTAGAAAGAAAATAATATTAATTGCTATTAAATCAGTAATGATGGTACTTAAAATGAAAATATATTTAATTGTGTCTGGCTTATGCTTTGGCTGTTTATTAGATAGCTCTGAAATCTGCATTTACTCATGTAGACTAAAAAGACAGTTATTAGTAAGTTAGATAATTTGCACACTGAAGAAGGCTCCAGTCACCTAAAAGTGTTCCAGAGATTTCCAAAAGTACTGGTCATATATGATCAAGGAGTCAAGCAGGTCCTAAGGAAATCAGGTTCAATTTTTAGCACACAATTTAATAAGCTGTTGAATTTATATCAGGTGATGCATGTTGCAAAATATGTTGCATAAATTACCAACTGATTAAGTACACTTAAATGTTGTAAGCATTCACAATAATATAAATTATATAATTCACTGCAGTTATATTAAAGCTATTTGAAATTATTTTCAAGTTATTTGAGACACTAAACAATTGAAATGTGAAGTAACAAACAATCTACAGGAAAGGGTTGATTTTCATTAACTAGTGCTAAAAATACGGGCAGTTATGAAGACATTTTATAAGAAGAGTTGGGAAGAACTTTCAGTGAAAAGGGAGAATAATTTGGTACCTTGAGTGAGCTTGTCCTTAACATTGGTTTTGCTATCTTAATACGGCTCCACTGTCTTTGTGGAGTAACTTAACATTTAGCAATTTGATATCTACAGGAAGAATTGGAGCATTAGGTAAAGTGTATCCAAAGTATCAGAAATGAAGGAGAGATTTTTTTAAAAAGTGTCTCCAAGATATTAATGGAAAAGGGTGAGGAAAAGTAATGAATTTCTGGAAATCCAAGGTATTTCTCACATATTTCAAGTGAACGATTAGGACTATAAATGTTTTAGATTAGTTTCTAGCTTACAGCTGAAGTAGCTTACCACATTTTTTTTTTTTTTTTTACAAAGGGATATTCATACCAATTCTCATTTAAGTTTTAACATAATGCCTCTTTTGCTGATTACAGAGGGAAAACTCTTGGGGAAGAGAGTAATACAGGATAGTTGTTCTTTCTGTCCTTTACTTTGCCTCTCACAGAAAAGAAGTCAATGAATAAGGCAGGTTCAGAATGGAAAGCAGAACACATTTTCCTGCTGATTCCCGGCTGTCATCTTTTCTTTATGTAGGCCAAGAACATCACCGTTGCTTCTCCCTGATAAGCCAAATGAAACTCAAAGCAGCTTCTTCTGTAACTGTGAAATGCTGTTTCAGTTACCACTCTAAATTGCATATGAGCATCTAATAGTGTTGGTATTGTATGGAAAAGTCACTAGAAAAAAAATGAATGAACATTTGTACCTGAAAAAGTCTGTCTGTTAGAGTTGGCTATTTGTTGTGGATACTATAATACATTAAAAATCCTACCTTTAATGTTTTAGCATTTGATGTTCTAGCCAAGAAATTTTCCCATGATTTATTAGCCAGCTCTCTTTGCTTGTGTGTGGCTTGTATCTGAAATGAGAAAGATAATTAAGTTTCAGTTTCTTTTTTTTCTTTGAGACAGAATCTTGCTCTGTCACCCAGGTTGGAGTACAATGGCAAGTCTCAAGTATAATGGCAAGTCTCTCTGCCTTTTAAAAATTTAAGACTGTAGAAATAAAATTATAATGCAAGAAAACAGCATCGCATATAGTAACTAAATCTCAAACTCCATAGTTTCTTTTAAAACTGCACAGGGACACTGAAAATAACTCTAAGAGAAAACTACAAAATAAGGCTGAAATACTCACAAGTAAGCAAATATATCTTATGGATAACTTCATCTGGGTTTGTACATTGAAATTAGTATCTTGTGCCTTCATGGTATCTATGGCTTACTTTTTATTGATACATAATAGTTGTACATATTTATGGCATACATGTGATATTTTGATGTGTGCATACAATGTGTAATAATCAGGGTAACTGGGATATCTATCCCCTCAAACATTTATCATTCCTTTGTGTTACGAACATTCCAGGCCTTCTGAATATTTTGAAATATATAATAAATTATTGTTACTATATTTGCCCTACTGTGCTATTGAACAACAGAACTTATTCTTTTTAGCTGTATTTTTGTACCTGTTAACCAGCCTATCTTCATTCTCCCTCCTCACTACCTACGTAGCTTACTTTTGCATATACTTTTTGTTCATTTTGCACATCTTGGCGTGCTTGGCTTTCAATTATCTCACTTTGCAGAGAAGCAACCATCTTTCCAATATTTTCTGATGCTGTTGTAATAGCTTCCAAAGCTTTTTTATCTGTAGTGACTGGTCTTAATTTTTCTAATTTTATTTCTTCATATATTTCATTCCATATTTCTCCAATCTGTTACAACAGAGTTTAATGAAGTTAAGTTAACCAAAAATAAATGATACAACTGTACAATTATACAATTTTTTATGTGGTTAGTCACTCCTGTTAACACCTAAACTTTTCATAAATTACTTTTTGGGAATAAATCAAGTGCATTGGGCATGATTTAGGACACCAGCTACATTTGAGTACTCAGCAGGAATTTATCAAATGTTTTTCAATGGTATGTTATTCATGGATAAGGATCTCCTAGGCCTAGGTCACTGCCATCATCACTGCCCTCTAGTTTATAGTTACCTTGATTTCACAGCTGCAGGAACTGCTCATTTATTCTCATCTTTTTGAACTACTGCTACTTTCCTCCCTAAAGCCCTGTATTGAAGGCTAGGTCAAGATGAACTTGTAGAAGAATGAACATGGAGGTTACTAGGACCCTAGAACCCAGCTACCCTGAGAAATGGGGCTTTGGCCTTCAATCTAGCTAAGGCAAATTATAATGGAATCTCAAGCTTTTAACTCCATGGTTCCATTATGCCAGTGGCTCCATCTCATATTCCAGGTTGTCTAGAAATTAATGTTCTTGAGTATATTTATAATTAGAGAAAAAAGATAGCAGAGTTGTACAGCAGAAGCATTCTGGACCCATAAAATTAAAGAAAAAAATTATATATCTATGATAAGGATAAAATTCATCTTTGGATGAATGAAGTAGGTAGATTCACTTGAGCTTAGGAGTTTGAGGCTAGCCTGAGTAACACAGTGAGACCTTGTCTCTACAAAATAAAACGAAAAAACAACAAAAAAGGAGGCTGGGTACGGTGGTACACACTTGTAGTCCCAGCTACTTGAGAGGTTGAGGCTGGAGGATCACTTGAGCCTGGGAAGTTGAGGCTGCAGTGAGCTGTGATCACGCAACTGCACTTTAGCCTAGGTGAAAGAACAAGACTCTGCCTCAAAAAAAAAAAAAAAGAAAGAAAGAAAGAAAGAAAATAAAGGTTTACTCATTTACAACATTCAAATGCACAGTACTAATATTAGTAGAAGGAGAACGTTAACTTACAAAAACTTTCCTGAAATTTCAAAAGCATTTATTTGCTGACGAAAATATGACTAGCTAAGTAAGCAACATACTATCTTTTAATCAAGATTGGGTCATAATATAAAGCAATGATAAAATAATACTTTAATAAGTATTAATAATTTATTTTAGTAAGTAATAAGTTATTTAATTCCAACTCCTAATGCTCTCCAAAGAGAAAAAAACTGTACATTTAAAATTTTGTAGTTTTAGTAGAGATGGGGTTTCACCATATTGGACAGGCTGGTCTTGAACCCTTGCCCTTCAGTGGTCTACCTGCTTTGGCCTCCCAACAAGGTGCTGGGATTATAGGCGTGAGAATACAAAAATTAGCTGGGCATGGTGGCAGTCACTTGTAATCTTAGGTACTCGGGAAGCTGAGGCAGGAGAATCCCTTAAGGCAGAGGTTGCAGTGAGCCAAGATTGTGCCATTGCACTCCAGCCCGGGCGACAAGAGCAAAAACTCTGTCGCAAAAACAAAACAAAACAAAATAAAAACAAAAAACAAAAACATCTGTTAGGCTTCTGAATAGTTTCTTATCAGTTTTGTATCAGTTCTCTCATAAACTAAGTTAGATAAAATCTTATCCCACGAAAACACCCAATCATGGGATGGGTGTATGATATATTTCTTCAACAGTATCAGTTACAAAATAAAAAATAAAAACTATACAGTATGTAGACAACTGCTTACAATCATGAATAGATCTTTTATTTTCCAGTTAATTTTTTGCTATCTAGATTTTAATAACCAGGTTATTAAAAAGATACTTACTTTAAAATCAAGATATCTATGTATAATACAGAGAGTGACAAAATCTTCAGCAGATAGACCAGGTAAATTTTCAAAATCTAAAGTTTACAAAGACAGAATTACTTTAGCAAAGCAAGTGATTCTAAGAAATATCTATCTATCTATCTTTAAACAAATGCAAAATTACTTTTGATTTCATCTTGATTTATACAAAAGTTAATTTTGTGAGTAGTTTGTGAGTAGGCTTCCTTCTATAACAAATTTCTGCCAGCTCATATATATAGTCATTAGAATAGGAATCATTTCGTTCTGTGTTGGGGTCAGACAATAATATCTTACTTTAGAAGCTGCAGATTGTTTGATAACTTTTTCCTTAACAGAAAGCAAAGACTTAAAAAAAAAAAAACCTCAAGTGACTCAGAATGTTAGTATTTTAAGCTTAATCATCTAAACTAACTGTCCTTAATCCTATCTGCACAATGGAATTGCCTAGGAAGCTTTAAAAAATACTATTGCCTGGATCCCACACACAGAGATTCTGATTTAATTGGTGAGGGGTGCAGTTTGGGAAGTGGAGTAATAATAGAAAATGCATTTCTCTGTACAAAGAGACTTTTGCTCATTATATTTGAAAAACTGACTCCAAAGCAAAATAATTGTGTCTACTTAGCAAAACAGATAGGATCTTGTGAATCTGTAGAGCAACTTCTTACCCAGTTTGCCCAATATAGCATAAATTTTTGCTCTAATATTCTCAGAAACATCCATAACTGCAACAGATGGGCAGTTAGCAGGCAGTGGGATGATTTTTTGCTCTTCTTGAAAGCTAGTAAATAGAGGTTTCTTTGTATCTAATCATTGGATAGCATGAAAATAGAAAAGGGACAGATAAAAACCAAAGTAAACAAATACTTAATTTTGAGATTTTGGTCTAGATAACATAAAATGTATAATAATATTATAGCAGTAAATATAATATAATATAATATAATATAATAACATTATAGCATGGTTACACTTTTGAAATAATAATTAAGCAGCTATTACTTCCCTACTCTGTGGGAAAACTTAAAGCTTTCATTTATATTGTTTATGTAAAATATTAAAATTTAACAAAATTACTTTTTAAAAGTAAAACTTCTATGTAAGTAACTTAAAACATTTTGAAATCCAGAAGCTGAGTAATGTCTGTTTAACAATGATGTAACCTTCTTTACTTTTGGTTTCTATATATTATGCTATAAATATAAAAACCATTTTATGATGCTATAGTTCAAAATTCAGAAATAATAAAAATGAATTGAAGATAGAAGTCATCAGAAGGGGAAGTATTTTCATTGAAAAATAAACAATACTTAAAGGAACATATCTAAAAATAATGAGAGCCATCTATGACAAACCCACAGCCAACATCATACTGAATACAAAGGAAATACTTCCAGCTTTCCTCCAAACTGTCACAAGAGAAGCATGAGCTCTTTTACCACATAGTACTGGAAATCCTGGCCAGAGCAAACAGGCAACAGAAAGAAAAAACGGGCATCCAAATAGGAAGAGAGGAAGTCAAACTATCCCTGTTTGTAGACAACGTGGTTCTATATCTAGAAAACTCCATGGTCTCACCCCAAAAGCTCCTTTAGCTGATAAACAACTTTAGCAAAGTTTCAGGATACGAAATCAATGTATAAAAGTCACTAGCATTCCTATACACCAACGACAGCCAAGCCAACAGCAAAATCAGAAATAATCCCATTCACAATTGCTGCAAAAAGAATAAAATACCTAGGAATACAGCTAACCAGGCAGCTGAAAGATCTCTACATTAAGAATTACAAAACACTGCTTAAAGAAATCAGAGATGACACAAACAAATGGAAAAACATCCCATGCTCATGGATAGGAAGAATCAATATAATTAAAATGGTTATACTGCCCAAAGCAATTTACAGATTTAATACTATTCCTATAAAGCTATTAATAACAATATTGACATAAATAGAGAAAACTATTTTAAAATTCACATGGAACCAGAAAGAGCCCCAATAGCCAAGGACATCCTAAACAAAAAGAGCAAAGCTAGAGGCATCGCGTCACCTAACTTCAAACTATACCATCAGACCATAGTAACCAAAACAGCATAGTACTGGTACAAGAACAGACACAGTCAAATTGAACAGAATAGAGAGCCCAGAAATAAGGCTACACACCTACAACTATTTGATCTTCAACAAATCTAACAGAAATAAGCAGTGAGGAAAGAACTACACATTTAATAAATGGTGCTGGGATAAGTGGCTAGTCACATGCAGAAAACTGAAACTGAATCTTTTCCTTATACCATATACAAAAATCAACTCAAGATGGATTAAAGACTTAAACGTAAAACCCAAACTGTAATAACCCTGGAAGGCAATCTAGGCAACACCTACCTGGACTTAGGAATGGGAAAGATTTCATGACAAAGATGCCAAAAGAAATCTCGACAAAAGCAAAAATTGACAAATGGGATCTAATTAAACTTGAGCTTCTGCACAGCAAACAAAACTATCAACAGAATGAAAAGACAACCTACACAGCCTACAGAATGGGAGAAAAATTTTGCAAACTATGCATCTGATAAAGGTCTAATATCCAGCATCTATAAAGAACTTAAACAAATTTATAAGAAAAAAAAAAAACTCAAACAGCTTCATTAAAAAGTTGGCAAAGGACATGAATGACACTTTTCAAAAGAAGCCATACATGTAGCCAGCAAGCATATGAAAAAAGCTCAGTATTACTGATTATTAGAAAAATGCAAATAGAAATCACAATGAAACAGCATCTCACACCAGTCAGAACGGCTGTTATTAAAAAGTCAAAAAATAACAGATGTTGGCAAGTTTGTGGAGAAAACGGGATGCTTATACACTGTTGCTGGGAGTGCAAATTAGTTCAACCCTTGTGGAAAGCAGTGTGTCATTTCCTCAAAGAGCTAAAAACAGAACTATCATTTGACCCAGCAATCCATTGCTGGGAGTATACTCAGAGTAATATATAATATAAATCATTCTTGACAGAGGAAGTCAAACTATCTCTGTTTGCAGACGACATGATTCTATATCTAGAAAATACTATAGTCTCAGCCCAAACGCTCCTTTAGCTGATAAACAACTTTAGCAATGTTTTAGTTATTAGAAAAATGCAAATTGAAATCACAATAAAGACACAGGCACATGAACGTTCACTGCAGTGCAAAGACATGGAATCAACCTAAATGTCCATCATGACAGACTGGATAAAGAAAATGTAGTCTATATACACTATGGAATATTATACAGCCATAAAAGAATGAGATCATGTCTTTTGCAGGAACATGGATGGAGCTGGAGGCCATTATCCTTAGCAAACTAACACAGGAACAGAAAAACCAAATATCACATGTTCTCACTTATAAGTGGGATCTAAATGATGAGAATTCATGGGCACAAAGAAGGGAACAACAGATATGCGGCTTCAGAGTGGAAAGTGGGAGGAGGGAGAGGATCAGAAAAAATAACTATTGGGTACTAGGCTTAGTACCTGGGTGACAAAATAATCTGTTCAACAAACCTCTATGACATGAGTTTACCCATATAATAAACCAGCATGTTTATTATGAACCTAAAATAAATGTTAAAAAAAATGTTAACCGTTTAGATGAAACCATAAGAATCTTAAAAGGCTTAGAAAATGCAGGTGGGGCATGGTGGCTCATGCCTGTAATACCAGCAGTTTGGGAGGCAGAGGTGGGCAGATCACTTGATGTCAGGAGTTTGAGACTAGCTTGGCCAACATGGTGAACCCTGTCTCTACTTAAAAAATACAAAAATTAGCTGGGTGTGGTGGCACACACTTGTAGTCCCAGCTACTTGGGAGGCTGAGGCACGAGAATTGTTTGAAGCTGGAGGCAGAGGTTGCAGTGAGCAAGATCACAATACTGCACTCCAGCCTGGGTGACAGAGTTAGACTCCATCTAAAAAAAAGAAAAAAGAAAAAAAAAAAGAAAATGTAATACACTGACCAGGTGTGGTGGCTCATGCCTGTAATCCCTCTTTGGGAGACTGAGGTGATTGGACTGCTTGAGCCCAGGAATTTGAGACCAGCCTGGGCAACATGGTGAAACCGCCTCTCTACAAAAAATACAAAAATTAGCTGGGTGTGGTGGCAGATGCCTATAGTCCCAGCTACTTGGGAGGGTAAGGCAGGAAAATCTCTTGAGCCTGGGAGGCAGAGGTTTCAGTTAGCTGAGATTGCACCATTGCACTCCAGTCTAGGTGACTTGAGGGAAACCCTGTCTCAAAAAAAAAAAAAAAAAAAAGAAAGAAAATGTAATATAGCAGTATGGAATATGTAAACAAACTAAAAATTATGATACTATAAATCTCATCAATTTGGAATCTAGTAATTAAAATTTTTGAACATTTGGAGTATTTATGAAATAGTATCTTCTTTCATATAAAAAGCAAATTCTATAAACATTAATCAGATCATGTCACCTAATGGATTTTAAAAAAAGGAAGAAAGGAATAAACATTAATTAACAGAAATGTATAAAGTGCTAAAATATTATTTTCAAGCAATCTATTTACATCTCAAAATTTTATTGGTAAATGAAATCTGCTAAATCTATATGTAAAAGCAGAAACCCCAAAGAAACATCTTTAGGAACTACTGTTAATTTTTTTAGTTAAAGTATATAATCAAATACCATTTCTTAAAAATATTTTCTAAAAATATTAACCTACTACTAATTTACTTAATTACCTTCCAATCACTTATGATAGCAATTTTTTCAAACCCTTGTAAAA